CATTTTGCTGATGCCCTGTTTTTCTCTGACTTCAAACTTCGTCAGCACACCACATTCTTCCCTAAGGAGAGTCAATAAAGTGGGCAACTTTGAAAAAGTATTTGCTTTTCAGCTAGGAGATGGGAAATACACACACGTGCACATGCCTGCACATATACATATACCTGCACATATGCACACACACACATATCCACACCTGAATGTGTCTGTGTATATACAAACATATATCTAGGATGGTAATGCATGGTTTGTCTACAGCTTGACTAATATAGTTGACAGTAGGATCTGTGCAGAAGTGAAGAGGAACAGAAGGGCAGAAAAGTGAAGACGCCTCTATCACCCCAGTTTTTGGCTAATTTGAGGGCAGGACAGAGCATGAACCTAGAGTCTGGAGCAGTGTGTAATAAGAGCTTTCTGGTACCTTCAGTGGATAGAAGTTGCCATTGAAGGTTAGAGGTTTCTATCAAGATTTAGGCAGGAGAAAGTAGAAATCAAGTCCCTCTGAAAGGTGGGAAGAATGCTAGCAGGAATAGTCCCCATGGTTTTCTTGGCAGAGCCACCTAGACCAAACTTTGGGCTTCTTTTCTATTTCCAGTAAGAAAGTAAGTTGGAAAGCAGAATGAAGGCAGAGCTCAGCAGGAAGGCCAAATTTTAAATGACCCATAGCTCAGCATTTTCTGAACTTTCTTGCTATCAAGGCAGTGCATATTCACTGAGAAAAACACATTTAAAAACAGATAATGAAATGGAAAATAAGTAACATCCAAGTAATTACCAAGATTTACATTCAAGTTTTATTTTTCATTAATTAGAGATGAGTGGGCATTTTCTCTTTGGGGTAATTTATCAATGTGCCATGTCAGAAAATCAGGGTTGTGTACCAATTGAGGGAGAGCTCATTGGTCTACAGGATGCGGATGGACTGAGACCCAGGGGATCAGCGCAACATCAGCTAAAGTGTTTGGACTGGGCTTGTGAGCAGCAAGAAACATGTCACATGCGTGAGGAAGATGGGGATGAGGAGAGCGGAACTAGTAAAATGTTAATTGTGTGTGGAGGTGTCAAGGATTCTGTGAAGGAAAAGTACAGGTAGCTAACAAGTTACCTGGTAATTTGAGTCAGGGAGACTTAAGAGCACCTGAATTAGAAAGATGAAGGTGGAAATAAAGAGAAGAGAAAGACTTGAGAGTTCTTAGGAAGTAGAATGCAGATAATACGGATGCTGGGTGACGAAGGACAGATATTGTGAGAAATGAAGTTCTATGTCCCAGTGACCAAAATGAGTGGAAGCTGACAGTTCTCATATGGATTTAGCTGGGAGGCAATCATGGGCCTCAGTGTTGGGCATTCAGGGAAATGGAAAAGACATGAGAATAGGCTGTGGCAGGCTAAGGAACTAACTTCATTTTGGGAATGGCTTCAAGGAAAGGGGGCCCATAACCTATATTCCTATTGTTCGTGCAGGTACCATCCTTTATTTCATTTCTACCTACTCTTTATGATCAAAAATAAGACACAATGTCAAAATAATGACCTGGTTCATGAGATCTGTATTTTCATGGCTTTTCAGATTCCTTTGCCATGTTTCTTGGGTTCAGCATTCGTAGAGCAGTGTCTAAGTCTCAGGTTGGTCATTCCAGTTCATCAAGGAAAGCTGGCATTGCATCCACACTCCAGTCTAAGAAAGATACTATAGTTGAAAGCTATTATAAGAGAGCCAGAGAATGTCAAGAGGAACAGATCAATGTGCTAAAGTACAACATTAAGATACACTCTGCACAGTGTTTCCAAGCAGCTCTTGGAAGTAACAGATGGCTTCTATAAGGGAATGATATAAGAAAAGTACCTAAGGCATTTTCAGCTTTGGTGTGCAGGGATTTTTGAGTCTCTAAATATAAATTCTATTACATTATGACAGATTATAATCTCTAACATCAAGCTTGATGCTAGAAGGGAATTTGAAAGTAGGTCCTCCATTTCAACTCTTCTACTTTTAAATCCTGACCATACCTTTTAAGACAGGATTTAAAAAAAAAGAAAAGACAGGATTTTAAAGGAATCTCATATAATTCAACCTGGTCTGTTATACAAAGCACATTGAGAGATTCATCCACCAATCCCATGGGGGCAATGTAGAAAAGAGGTAGATCCTGAAATAACAGTGCTCCTTTGTTGGGCATTTTATGCTCAGACTACACACAATACTACCCTGACAACCCATTCATCTCAGCCTTCTCTGTCTTGCATTTTGTTTATAATATCTTTAGTTAGGCAAGTGTGGTAAATAGCCTAAATTTCTAAAGTCTCGGTAGGTAAAGATGAAAAAATTGGTAACTGGTTAAAGTAGATTACAAATATAATCAAGTAGCAAATAATTACATCAAGCCCTTATACTTTTAGCATTAAAATATAAGTGAACTAGCCATCATTTTTCAAGTTATTTCATAAACATTTTATAAATTTTAAAAATAATAGAAAAATGGGTACAATGATGGAAATCATTTATCTCGTGTTTTTTCCACAAGAGAATTTTTTTTTTGAGACAGAGTCTTGCTCTGTCACCAGGCGCCAGGCTGGAGTGCAGTGGAGATCTCGGGTTACTGCAACCTCTGCCTCCCAGCTTCAAGCAATTCTCCTGCCTCACCCTCCTGAGTTGCTGGGACTACGGGCACACGCCACCACACCCAGCTAATTTTTTGTATTTTTAGTAGAGACGAGGTTTCACCATGTTGGCCAGGATGGTCTCGATCTCTTGACCTGGTGACCCACCCTCCTTGGCCTCCCAAAGTGCTGGGATTACAGGCATGAGCCACTGTGCCCAGCCAGGAGAAATTTCTTGTAAGTTAATTTTTTAATGCTGTATAAAAGGGCATAAAATTTTGAATTACAAGTCTTGGGTTTGTGTTCTGGGTCTACCATTTAACTCTGATTCACAGAAAGATCATTTTCATGTAGGACTTTCAGTTAAATCATCTATAAAGAGAAACTGCTAATATAAACCCTTCTGTTGGGTTGCTGCAAGAGCCTCACAGATAGCTAATGTATGTGAAAGGACGTAGTCAGCTGCAGAGCTCAGTACAAATTTACAGATTTCATAAAAGTATATAGTCATTGACTTAAATAGTAATATATATACATTTTTCTTTTAAAACTTTATTCATGAGAAATTAAGTATTCCTTGAGTAGTAATTCTAACTCCTTGAACAGTAAAACTGAATGCACTTTCTTTTCCTGTAATATACCATTTGATAGCAAGACAATAATGTTTAAGACTTTCCAAGGTTTAATGGATAATGGAGATTAGGGCTCTTTTTAAAAATGATCAAATTTGTCCTTGAATAGAAAGACATTGCAGTCAAATCACTATTCGGTTTGCTTGTCTTATTCCAACTTTCTAAGCTGTTTCCTAGAGAATCATTGAATATTTGCCACCTCTTCTGAAATACACAAATGATATTTAGGAAAGAATTTTTATTTTAGAAAGATAAATGGTAACCAGCATTGAATGAGTACATCTGGTGTGCAGAATAGCTAGATAATGCTATATGACAGGAGGTCTGATGGGGCCAAAAATGAGAATAATAGAGAATTTTCAATGCTAGATAATGCTTTGATCTCCCCACCCACCTTCAATTAATTTACATCAACTGATTTATCTAAGGACCTAGGGACGCTAGGGGTAGGACACGAAGCCTTAGGGCCAACAATTGCCATACATAGACACATGTGTGGTGGCTTGCAGGGCAGGAGTCAAGGAGGGAGAAGATAGGGAGGGAGGGACTGAGACATCTTCAAGAGCCAAATTCCCATAGTTCAAGATGTATCCCCTGAGGACACACTCATCTTACAAGGAAGAACTCAGCAACACGGTGGAAGTGTTTTAAGGGAAACACAGGTTTATCCACTACCCTGGCTTATTGGAAGAACTCAGGGAGTAAGAGATAAAACAGCTACTTCTGGTGCTGAGAGCCACTAGGAAGCAATTGTTCCTCATCTCTTGGGTGATAGCCAGTCTGCCTGTGTCATGTAGAATTCTGGTTGCTTCTTTTATGCCATGAAGGACAAGGATGTCTTTGTGCTGCTGCAGCTGCTACAGCCTTTCCCAGGCATTTACTCTTCCACAAAATAGTAATTTTCCTGATTATGAAAGCCGTTTGAAGATTTCTTGATGTACAGTGGAAATCGTGCTGAATGATAAAAATCTCTCTCCTATAAGAAGAGTGAGATATTAGAAGACCCAGGGAGAAACGACCAGGATCATTTAACATTGCTTGAATCATTTCCACTGCTTTCTGTATTGAAGGAAAGATTGAGGGTAGAGAAGATAAGAATCATGGCATTGCTTCTCTTTGCCTTTCCTTTGGTCAGCCCCTATTCCTTGATTCTGTCTCATGTTCCCATTTTAAAGGTAATCAGTATCGGTTGCTTGAGGATAGTTTGTCCTATCACAATCCTTAGATAATTGATAATACATATTCAGAGAGAATCCATTCCATGCAAGGTGAAACTCAAAGTTCCTGGGAAGCCAAAAACCTCAAAGGAAAAACAGAGAAATCTTATCAGGATGAGAATGTTCTTCTGAATGTGTTTGATATTCTCAAAGTATTTTCTTGGAAGGATGGCTAGGGAAAGCATGCCACATTGCTGGCATATGGTCAGAGGCATGGAGGAGGTTTAAGAATCCTAGGAGAGGACAGGACTGGATTACTCTAACATTATATTCATTCTGCAGGCCAGGAGCTTATGCACATGCATCACATGAAAAATAAAGACTGTCTCAAACAGAAGATAAAACATTGCGAAGCATCCTGGGCCATCTTATAATTTGTATGTGCTGGAAATGATTCCCTCCAGTTTCTATCCAGTGCTGTGATTCTCTGCTTGAACCCAGTTTTGGCAGAACTGTTTTTTACACCCAGGGTGTCAGAATTAAGCTCAGGGATGTGATGTTTGTCTTCCAGGAAGTCACTGGCATGTTCCCACTCTTGGTTTGTTTTCAGATTTGTCACTTGGCTGACCTCCAAACCTGCCCATCAGCCAGAAATCAAGAAGCCTACAAGTCACAGCTGGATCCACTGGTGGAACAAAGCTCAGCTGCCAATTTCAGAAAAGAAAGCGTGTTCTGCTCTGGAGTCACATTTAATTATGCAGAATTTATGTATTTTATTTTTTTGTAACGCTTGCATGTTAAACCATAAATGTGAGCTAATAAAAGATAATATGTATGAAATACCTAGCAGGGTTAGGCAGAGGAGACACAAAATAAATCCATCTTGCTTGTTCCCCTTGTACTTCTCTCTCCTGTACTTTACAAGTAGAATAATAACTTGTTAGAGGTGGTTAATTAATGTAAACTTCCAAAAACACTATCAACACAAAATGGTGCTCATATGTTTGTGAACGAAGATAGATAGGAGGATACGATTAGAAAAATGTAATCTACTTTCCCCAAAAGACCCAAGATGAATGCCCATTGGTACATTTTCATAGTGGGCTAGGTTAAGCTATACAAAATAACAAGAGCCTTCTAATTATTAGAATATAACATGTTTTATAAAAGTATAACTCACTGCCCCCACCAATGCTACAGCAAAATCTAACAACTAATCTTATTTCAAATATAATTGTAGAAATATGTTAGGAGCATCAAAGTACATGTAGAACAAATAAGGAAACTAAGAAGATGCATTGAATATCTAAACAGCTCCATAGCCAGTCAGTGGGTTTTGGAATTCAACTCTGAAAACTGCACCAATGCTTTAATCTTCTTCCCATTGTTTATTTTCCATGGTCTTACTCAGAATGTAGAAACTGTGTCCTATTTTTAGTACTGAGGAAGAAATAGATAAATATATATTATAAGCTAAAAATTCAGAGTAACCAGGTGATCAACAGAATGGGAGAAAATAGTTGCAAACTATACCTCTGATAAGAAACTTGTATTAGTACATTTTCATGCTGCTGATAAAGACATACCCAAGACTGGGCAATTTACAAAAGAAAAAAGTTTATTGGACTAAAAGTTCCACATGGCTTGGCAGGCCTCACAATCATAGTGGAAGGTAATAAGCACATCTCACATGACTTCAGACTAGAAGAGAGCTTGTGCAGGGAAAGTCCCTTTTTTAAAACAATCAGATCTCATGAGACTTATTCACTATCATGAGAACAGCATGGGAAAGACCTGACCCCGTGATTCAATTACCTCCCACTGAGTTCTACCCACAACATGTGGGAACTCAAGATGAGATTTGGAAGAGGACACAGCCAAACCACATCAAAACCAATACCCAGAATCTACAGGGAACTCAAATCAGCAAGCAAAAAAGCAAAGAATCCCATTGAAGTGGGCAAACTACATGAACAAACACTTCCCTGAAGAAGATATGTAAATGGCCAAGAAACATGAAAAAATGCTTAACATTGCTAATCATCAAGGAAATGCAAATTAAAACTATGTTAATACCACCTTATCTTAGCCAGAATGGTCATTATTTAAAAATCAAAAAACAATAACTGTTGGCATGAATGTGGTGAAAAAAAAAACACTTATATACTGTTGGTAGAAATGTAAATCACTACAGCCTCTATGGAAAACAATATAGAGATTCTCAAAGAGTTCAGTGTAGATTTACTATTTGATCCAGTGATCCCACTACTAGGTATCTGTCCAAAGGAAAAGATGTCATTATATTAAAAAAGCACCCACATACACATGTTTATTGTAGCACAATCCATAATTATAAAGAAATGGAATCAACCTAAGTGCCCACCAATCTATGTGTGGCTAAAGAAAATGTGTTTTATATACACACAAACACATACGCGTGCACACACACACACACACACACACACACACACACACCATGGAATACTACTCAGCCATAAAAAAGAATGAAATAATATCTTTTGCAGCAACTTGATAGAATTGCAAGCTATTATCCTAAGTGAAGTAACTCAGGAATGGAAAACCAAATGCCACATGTTCTCACTTGTAAGTGGGGGTTAAGCTGTGACTGTGCAAAAACATACAGAGTAATGTAATAGACATTGGAGACACAGAAGAGGCAAGAATGGTAGGAGGTAGGGGATGAAAAATTGCCTGTTGGGTACAATGTATGCTCTTTGGGTGAGGGGTACACTAAAAGGCTGGACCTTGCCACTGTACAGTGCATTCATGTAACCAGAAACTACTGGTACCCTCAAAGCTATTGAAATGACAATAAATTAACAAATACTGTAAGCAAAATACAATATATGTCATAAATGCACAGAGCATGTATGTGATGCATTTATGTGATTTTATCCATATTTGATGATTTGATATATGAGATTAGGAGGCCTTTAACTAGAATATACTTGGATTTTGGAGACATGAGTTCTGTACTTCTTGTGTACTATAAAATTTCTGGATGCAAAACTTTTTTGATTTTGCAGTGCACAGCAAAATGGAACCATCTTTTCTGGGCACATGACAGAAATTAAAAGGAGCAGGGGCTAAGTTCAAAGGGATATAATTAATGTCCTAAAGGGGTTAAAAGCATAAACTTAATCATTCCATCATCAGGTGACCTGCCAGCATGAGAACATTGCTGAATCTTGTACGAGTTAGATTCAGGAGAAAGTGGTAATTCTTCCATGATTAGAATTACTTGTCAGGCTCACTTTAAGGATACATAAATCTGAGTTTTTCCTGGTGACAACCAGCCCAATCAAAGAAAGCATATGTTAAATAGAATGAAATTACATTGTAAATCAATAAGCCCAAATTAGAATAGCACTGTACAACTTCCCTCAGTATTGTGATTCCAAAGTTTTGTTATACAAGTGAGGTTAGGAGACAGATTGGGAGACAGACATCGTAAATGTTAAAGAATGGTTGTGACGGAGGTTACTAAAGAGCTAGCTATACTGATAAAATACATCAGATTGTTTATGCCTAAAATGTATGGAAATACAAATGTTGGAAACAAACATCTTAGTGAAGCTTTCTACAATGGTTTTGTGTGACTCCATTTAAACACCGATTACTAAAATTACTGTAAACTAGAAAATACAAAATCTAGATAAAAGCTGAAGAAAGCATTGAAAGGGCATAATTCACGTAAATCATGATCTGGGTACATCACTCTTCTTATCACAAGGATCCTTGCCCGCTGATGAACACTGAAGCTTTCTGATGTGACTGTTCTTTACGTTCTTTCTATCCTTTTATCTTGGAATGCAGCCGAGGATACTTGGCATAATATGTTGCACAGTGACCACTCCACAAATCGTGAAACTAACTTTGCAAAACATATATCAATGAGAAAATTATGACAGTGAAAGAGATCTGAGCTAATCCACCCCATCTTACCTTTCCCTTAATTATTCCTGCGTTATTGGGTCTAGCTGATCAATCAAGGGCATGGTCTGCAAACTATCTCAGTAACTGATCTTAGGTTTTACAATAGCGATGTTATTCCCAGGAGCAATTTGGAGAGGTTCAGACACTTGAAGCAAGAGATTGCATGACACCTAATCCGTAATTTATAATCTTGTTAGCTAATTTGTTACTCCTACAAAGGCAGACTGGTCCCCAGGCAAGAAGGGGGTCTATTCAGGAAAGGGCCATTATCAATTTTGTTTCAGAGTTAAATGAGAAACTAAATTTCTTCCCAAGGTTAGTTTGGCCTATACCCAGTAATAAAGAAGGACAGCTTAAAGGTTAGAAGCAAGATTGGGTCAGTTGGGTCTGATCTCTTTCACTGTCATAATTTCCTCAGTTACAATTTTTGCAAAGGTGGTTTCAAATCCACACTTACTTTTATCAGAGAATTCTGTGAAGTATTGTTCTATGATTTCAAAATATTATGTTAGCTTTTGACAGCTTGGGAACACACCCCTTCTATAAATTGTGGCAAACTATACTTGCTATGGTTTCATATTTTATTACATCACATGATTATCGTGACAGTTTATAGTCTTATTTTCCTTTCTTTTGAGATTCATTGTTAGGAATTGCATCTTTTGGAATGTCAATTTCAGTGATATTTATTGACTACTTACTAAGCAGGTATTATGTAGAGCTACTAAAATAAGCAAGCGTCTAACTTGGAAAGAGCAAAATAAAACCAAATGAGGAAAATGCAATAGGAAAGGGGTATAAAAATGCACTAAATATTTTCCTGAACTCTACATTCATTGTACTTATTTTTCTTGTCACTGTTTGTATAATACAGGATATAATTAATTGGAATTTGGGTTTTTTGTTTTGTATTGTTTTACCTCCGATTGTGCCTGAAACTGCCTTTGCAAAATTATGACTGAGACAGTGAAAGGGATCTAACTTAACTCCATCTTGCTTCCAACCTTCAAGCTGTTCTTGTTCATTCCTGGGCGTAGGCTGAACTAGCTTTGGGAGAAACTCAGTTTATAGTTTAAAACAAGGACCATAACAACTCTTTCCCAAAGCAGGCCTCTTTTCCTGGGGACTAGATTGCCTTTGTAGGACTAACATTAGCCACAAGATTAGAAATTCTGGTTTAGTCATGCAGCTGGAAGCTACAAGATTCTGACCCTCCCTGAACTGCTCCTAAGATCAGTGCCTGAGGTATTTTGCAGACACTGCACTTGCTGGATCAGCTGGCACCACCCAAATCAGTAAACTGGGTCATCAGATCTTGCGGCTCCTCCACCCAGGAACTGACTCAGCACAAGAGGACTGCTTCAACTCCCTATGATGTCATCCCTGACCAGTTAGCACTCCTGGCTCACTGGCTTCACCCCATCCACCAAGTTGTTAAAGTCTCTCCTCCTGTAATGCTCCTAGAGACTGATTTGAATAATAGTAAAACTTTGGTCTCCCTCATAGGTGGCTTTGTGTGAATTGCTCTTTCTCTATTGCCATTCCCATATTGAGAAGTTGACTCTGTCTGGGTAGCAGGCAAGGTGAACCCATTGGGAGATTACAAATTTGGGTGCTCGTCTGAGATTGCCCTTGTGGCTACCTCTGCCCATTGTTTGGTACCAGTCTTTGTTAAGGTTTCCCTTTTAATGAAAAGAAGTCCCCAGTGCATTTCTTTTCTAGCAGAGAGCAGCCTGTAAAATTGAGCTGCAGACATAGATAAGCAAGCTAGACACTTACACAGGTGAATGATGGCAGTTACGCTAATAGAAAAAGGCTACTACAAGCTAGGCATATCTAACATATTGGCTCCATCTTCCCTTTTCCTTGCCAACCACATGTGCAGTAAGTTGTTTTTTTCTGCCTTTGCTCCATCTTGGCCTCATTTTTTTCAAGCAAAGTATGTGACTGATGGACCTGCCGTAATAATAATATTGCACTGAAATCTGGCATTAAAAATTTTAAGTAGGTATTTGGAGCTCCATGTATTGATTACAGTTTTTAAATTTGAAATAAATAACCAGCTTCCTTTGAATATGAGAAGCCATTTCCTTTTGACATTTAATTTACCCTGTTTAAAATGTGAGATGTTAAGTGATGGTTTGTCAGTTAACTAGACTTTTTATTTTAGAGTATTGAGGACTTGGAAGAGTATCATTAAATAACTCTTTGGTGAAGAGTGTCAACTTATAAAATAAATTGCTGTATTCCAGAATAAAATTGTGTCAGAGACTATAAGTAGTGCTTATTTAATCTTAATAACTAAAGATTGGTATAAGCACTTGAGCGTTTTATTTGCAGAAATGTATATTACAATTACTAAATTTTGTTTTTTAAAACAGCCACAGCAAGAGTTGGCACTTATTCAGTTGTCTCTTCAACCTCTGTTATTCCGATGACTGAGGGAAAAACTTGAACCTATGTTATATGATACAAACATAACTAGAGCTACACTAAACCACATGACAGTGTTTTGATAATTCTTGTATAAATCAGTATATCTCTTCTATCATTAGTCTGTTTGTTAAAGCTAGACCTTGTTTCTGTTATCTTTTGAATGAAACAAACAGGTCTATGAGAAAGTAACAATTGCAGAGTTATACACATGGTCAATTAAATTTTAACATTAAAGATAATTTAGTTTTAGATTTCACCTCTGGATCTGTATCAGTTCCAAAAATATAGAAAGCATGGGCATGGAAAAGTACATTTTTCTCTAATAAAAAAAGACAAAACCTATTTTATCTGTGCATTGTTTTGTATTTACTCATTAAGTTAAAGAAGCAATTCCAGTGAAAGTATGACTTTGAAAAATTATATATAATCTATGGCCTTAATAAAATTATTAAAAGTACCTTAACATCTGTGTTCTTGAAAAAAAAATAAACTGTAAATGATTAAGACAACTGTGATGGTTAATACTGAGTGTCAACTTGGTTGGATTGAAGGATACAAAGTATGAATCCTAGGTGTGTCTGTGTGGGTGTTGCCAAAGGAGATTAACCTTTGAGTCAATGGGCTGGGGAAGGCAGACCCACTTTTAATATCGTGGGTACCATCTAATCAGCTTCCAGCAAATATGAAATAGGCCGAAAAATGTGAAAAGAAGAGATGGGCCTAGCCTCCCAGCCTATATCTTATTCCCAAGCTGGGTGCTTCCTGCTCTTGATCACTGGGCTCCAAGTTCTTCAGTTTTAGGACTCAGACTGGCTCTCCTTGCTCCTCAGCTTGGAGACAGCCTATTATGGGACCTTGTGATCATGTAAGTTGTTGCTTAATAAACTGCTCTTCACACACACACACACACACACACACACACACACACATACACACACACACACACACACACACACCTCCTATTATTTCTGTCCCTCTAAGAGAACCCTGACTAATACAGATTTTGGTACCAAGAGTAGTTCTAGAGGAACAGAATATTAAGGATGGAGTTCTTTTGTTGGTTTTGGTGTTTCTGGAGTTGGCTGCCTAATATTATTAGATCCCAAAATGCTAAGGACTCTACTTCTAATAGTATGGAGAACACTGATAGTCTTTGGTGTGAACTGTTTAGAAAGTTATGCAAAATAAATGCATTTGACACTGCTGATTCACTACTCATGAAAGGCAAGGAGTTTAGTGACTCTATACATAATACCTTTGGCCATATGTGGAGAACCAAGGAACATAATGAAGCTGGTTGGTTGCTCCTAAGTTCAGTGGACAAACAGATGTAAGAAAATAATGAACTCAGGGATTTTGCCTTCCAGCTTCAAAAGCAGATACTGAGCCTCAAATTTGCGAACATTGCCCTGAGTGAAAGTCTTACCTCCTGTAAGGAAGAGCTGAAATTGTGGAAACACATAAGCATGTGAGTGGCTGACCTGCAACAAAAGGTGCATGCTCAGCCTCGCCAGGTGTCTACTGTTAAAGTGAGGGCATTTATTAGAAAGAAGATTATGTACTGATTCATGGGCTATAGCCAATGGTTTGGCTGAATGGTCAGGGACTTGAAAGAAGCATGATTGGAAAATTGGTGACTAAGAAATTTGGGGAAGAGGTAAGTGAATGGTCCTCTCTGGTAAAAAACTGAAGATATTTGTATTCCATGTGAGTGCTCACCAACAGGTGAAGTAAGCACAGGAGGAGTTTAATAATCAAGTGGACAATGACCCATTCTGTGGATTACACTCAGCCTCTTTCCCCAGCCATCCCTGTCATTGTCCAATGGGCCCATGAGCATAGTGGCCATGGTGGCAAGGATGGAGGTTATACATGGGCTCAGCAACATGGTCTTCCACTCACCAAGGCTGACCTGGCTACAGCCACTGCTGAGTGCCCAATTTGCCAGCAGCAGAGAGCAACACCGAGCCCTCAATATGCACCATTCCTCTGGGTGATCAGTCAGCTACCTGGTGGCAGATTGATTATACTGAACCTCTTCCATCATGGAAAGGGCAGAGGTTTGTCCTCACTGGAATAGACAGTTATTCCAGATAGGGGTTTCCCTATCCTGCACGCAATGCTTCTGCCAAGAATACCACCTGTGGACTCACGGAATGCCTTATCCACCGTCATGGTATTCCACACAGCA